TATGGTTTGGGGTTTAAGGTGTAGGGTGAACAGGAATAACAGTACGTCACGTGTACCTGGAACCATCGACACCGAATCATCCGGTCATACCGGCAGATGGTCTTGTGGTGACAGTGGCAGAGCAAGGCAACCGTAATAATAATAATAATAATAGTAACAATAACAATAATAACAATAATAATAGTAATCATAGTAATAACAGCACTGGTGATCATCGTCATAATATTAGCAATACAAACACAACAACGACAGTCATAATAGTAATAATAGTCATAACAAAAACAAGAAAATACAAACAATAATGACAATAACATTGTGTAGCAATAACAACAAGTAGTCAATGCAGTCAGGGATCCTAGCCGCACAGTACCTACCTGCCTAACACAGGTAGCAGAAGCAATACAGTTCCGCGACCAAAGCAAGCATGTGGCCTGGCAAACTTCCTGCTGCGGCGTGCCCCGATCGAAGACAGAGTCAAAGGTAAACCTGGGGCAACCGGCTCAGGGTCTAAGAAGGCAACCCAGGCAACTCTGCCTGCTGCGGCTGAGGTATGCAACAAGGCGTATAGGCTTAGAGCCTACAAGGTCAACGGAAAGCTGGAAAGTTGGCATTAAAGACCGTTGAGTCTGCCCAGATCCGAACTACTGCGTCTAGAAAGCAGGTTGGGGAGGCATAGCAATGCCAACGTACCTGCGGCCCCAGAGCATGCCACTCTGAGTCCCCCGGAGTTCATGATGGACATATCCTGGATGACATGCACCGAAGATCAACCTCATTAAAGACCGCACAAACAATGCTCATCAGCTGCTAGGTTGAGCTGGTTTACGGAATATACCTGCCTCAGCAGCAACCTCCTCAATCCCCTGTGCTCTTGAACGCGCAGTCATGCAGCGCGCAGTCCGATCCGACCACGTAGTCCGAAGATTCTTTCGATAAATGCTCAGCACAAATGGTTCAAACGATGTGTACGCAGTTGTGCTTTCTTCAAAGGGTCCTGTATAAGGGATATTATAATCAGGGTTACGTCTAAAAGTTCCCTTGAAGGGTGCTATATAAGGGATACTGCACGGGTTCTTTAAAAGGTCCTGTAAAGGCATTCTAATAAGGGGTATCATCGAACTTCAGGAGGAAACCGAGTGTCACATGGACCCCGGAGACTTCTGGCTGCCCCGGCCGAGGAAGCGTTTATGATTTAAGGACGTGAAACCCGCGGCCCAATTGGCTCCATTGGTAGAAAAGCCTCCCGAACCCAAACTACCTGACGCTCGTCATGCTCGTCGAGATGCTCGCGCTCTTTGGCATCGGTCAGGAGCAGCGTTGCCTGCGCGGGTCTTTGCCTCCTGCCTGCCTGGGTGCATGCTTACTATATAGTCAATGTGAGCCATTTGCTGCATCGCAAGGTTGAGGGGGTTTAGTGTCTGGGGTGCTCAAAAGTGCTGAAGTGTAAGGCAGGCTCGACGTCAACCACAGCACCATCGACATGAGAGTGGTTGGGCTCACCTTCCCTGATGACAGGGGCCGGCGGGGTCATTGCCCGCAACTTTCCCCTCCTCCAAATGGCTTGTTGGTAGACCTGCTGCTGCTTGCTCGTTCTATTGGCGCAGCTCAGGGACAGCTTCATTCGTTGATCCATGACTGCTTACCAATTGAGTGTTATCTGTGACAAACGAACTTAACCTTTATGCATTCCACAGCCACTTCCTGAACTTCCTATGCAGATGACAAGACTCGCGGGCCCCGAGATCCATGTAGTAACACTTCTCGGACATGTTTGGCACTCGCACTCGACGGCATCGGCTCATTCGAGCAGATTCAAGACACATTGGCCTCGACCACGCCAACCAGCGGTGATACAGCAGACTCTCACAAGTTTCTCCAGGCACGCCTCTCCTTCTCCAAGCTCTCCAGAACGATGCCTCTAAGTGAAAGCAACTCTATGAATCAGCGAATTTGTTGTCTTTCTGCGGGAACGTGTTAGTGGGCAGAGCCGACATCAACTTGCTCCAGAGTCGCCAAGCTTGCTGAGGACTAAATCCATTTTCGCATGCATGCCCTGGACACAAGATTCCAGGTTCCCGAGCCTGCGCGAGGTGACGGGATCTGGGCCAGAATGCAGCTCATCGGACTGATCCTGATACTTCTCCAACACTTTCTCGTGCATCTCCCGGATTTCGCGCCGCAGTTCCGTTACCTTTTCATGGACATTCATGACGTCGGCATCGTACTGCGAGTGAATCTCGCCCCACGTTGAGGGATCTCTCGCATTGGCAAACCATACATGATGGGAGTTCGCTTCGCTCTGAATTCGTCGCTTAACACAAGCACATGGAAATTTCTCCCAGCCAGTGTATATGGTAAAGTGATGCAGTACCAAGCGCGAACGCTCTAGAAGGAATAAGCGCTCTCGGTGTTCCCACCCTCGATTGTAACTCTCGGCCAACACGCCGATCAAGATGTTCATCATTATGATCGACATGCTAAAGCCCATGGCAACCAACACAATGTCCACCGGCCACTCCCAATCTTCCTTTCCCCGAGAAAGGAGCGTCACATTCCTCATTTCATTCCTGGAGAAGTCGGCCAGGAAACCCAAGCGCCACATGATCATCATCGACTGCCACCAACTCATTAGCCCAAAAGAATAGTACATGTGAAGAAAGCCGGCAAACCAACAGAAAACCACGAAGAAGAAGGGTACAGTTGCCGGAATAGCTTGCAGAATTGGAAGCATGGGCTTCCCCGTGCTCTCAAACCCCTTGAGAGTGTTCAACACCCTGAGCCAGCGGACAAACCCAGTTATCGCGAATATGAGTCGCAGTTCCTGGCGTTCTGCACAGGCCTTCCAATCTATCACCAAGACAGTCAAGCTGAATCCGGTCAGAAATATCCTGAAGGCATCGGCAAGCGTTTCCAGCGAAAGAAAGTATTCACGCAGCTTGCCGTAGGCATGGAACCCAAGGCATTGCAGGAACTCCATCCAGGCATTTCGTAGCCAAGCCAGAGCTGCGACAATCAGGCATGGCCAAACCATCCACTCCTCAAGCCACTCGTACTCCTTGTTCATGAGGAATGCCAAGGACCAAAAGACGCACGCCACTAGCAGGTCAAGAGCGAAACTCAGGACGTGAACACGATATGTTTCTCGCCACGCCAAATTTATGATCGCATGGGCACCCTTCTCGTCAAAGACACGATCATTCACTCCGGAAGCTAGAACCCAGAGCACCTCAGGGTTGCGATGTAAGCCGGGGAGAACGCAGTGGCTAATTTCAATGGGCACTTGCGTGAAGTGATCCAACCTTTGAAATCGATAGGGCAGCAGCTGCTTGAAGAATTCCTCTACTAGCTCGTGTTCCTGGTCCGTGATGGTTGATCGAACACCTGCTGCAAACTCCATTTCCTGGTGAAACTTATCATCAAAATGGCTCTTCGGCGGCCCCACCGCAACGTTCAGATCGCCATGAGGTAGGTAAGCTGTTTTCCATGCCACACGCTTCTCATTCTTCCAATAACGAAGCTCGCACTTCCTAAAGACGGCACCGAGGATTTCTTCAGCATCGGGCGTGGCCAGAAACCGCACGAAATCTTTCAAGCCGATACAGGCGACGACATCTTCGTCGCAACCTCGTAAGCCTTTGGCGGCAGCCGCAGTCAAGACCGCGTTGTTGGCCTGGAACAGATAGTCCACCCCTCTCCTTCCCTCCGTACCTGCAAACAGATCTGCACCACCCTCGACAAGTAGCCGCACCACCTCCACATGGCAGCCATCGATAGCATCTTTCAGTTCTTGTGGACCGAAATCCGTTCCAAATGAGATTTGGGCTTTGGCACTGAGGAGGACTCGGACAACCTCATCGTGTCCCAAGCTAGCAGACACTTGAAGTGCGGTTTTGGTGATACTCATGTCGTCTTGAAACTTCACGGGAGTGTCAGGATTGCCTTTCTGTTGTAACAGATATCGCACTAAATGAGCATGACCAAAATAGCTGGCATCATACAACAATGTGACATTTGGCTCGTCGTTGAAGCTGATCACACGGCCCTGCAGATTTGCCTCGTGCTCCACCAACAACCTCATCATTGACAAGTTGCCCTTGGCAACTGTGGCACAAACAGCTGGCCCCTTCCACAGCACGCCTGTGCGTCCTGCTTTCATCGAGTACACAGACTGTGCATTAGCTCGGTGGGTCATCAGCAAGCGAACGACGTTGGGCTTGTCGAGCTTGACAGCCAAGGTAAGCGGTGTCCCATCAAACTCTTTGGGGCCAAGCTTGTATTTCAACCGGCAGTTTGCATCTGCTTTGTCCTCCAAAAGTTGCTTCACGTCCTGGTAGAGCCCCCTGCCCAGAAGACATTGACGAAGCCTCCCGTCCAGCGAGGGGTCATCGTATGCTGAAAGGTCGGATTGCTCACGAACCAGCGCCAACACATTGTTGGAATACGCCATGCGCCAAACTACTACGTACTCATTGGCTACACACTGACCCGCAAGAAATGACGTAGAGTTTCGCCGCGCACCTTCAGTGAACATGTCGGTTTTTTGCTGCTTGCCAGTTTCACTCGATGAATTGCTGCTGAGCCACTTGCATGCACAAAACACTCAACTAATCTCAAAAGTCATCGAACACAATCAAAACTGGAGGTATACCTAGTTTAGGCTTACAGCGGTGTCGGGCGTATGGACCTGCTACTGACCTCCACGCCACATGCTTTCGTCACCTCACCTCCCTCTCCCTCTCTCAAACTCAAAACTAGAGACATGCACGGGAGCAGCTCTCTGGACTAGGTCCCTGTATGGACCTCCTGCAGGTTACACACTTGTGCAACGAAGGCCTGAACGTGGCCACTTTATTTTACACATAGTAACCCCCCGACATGTCCCCGATCCGCACATCATGCTTGCGCCGCTCAGTAGCAGCTCGAGACATCTAGGCCGCAGCATTCAAGTATAAGGACCCCGGATAGCAAAACTGTCACGCCAGTGGCACCCTCAGGAGTGCCTTGTCAGTTACTGCCACTGCTTCTCGCTCGTCCGCCTGCACCTCGCGACGGCTCATCGGCCTTCACATGAGCCAAGGAGAGTCAGGGGGGTTGGTCCGAGTTGCCCACTTCACCCATCTATTAGGAGGCCCCCGTGGGACCCCCTAGGCAGGCTGGCCGTATCTGAGGGGACGGGACGGACCCCCGCCTTCGAGGGTGCAACACGCAACCGCCAGGGTCCCAGGGGGGTCTCCTCATAGATGGGTGAATCGGGCAACTCGGACCAACCTCTGTTCTTTTGTGGCTTGGGGTTAGAGCTTGGAGAAAAGAAACTAGATGTTAGCTCTGCAACGTCAAAGTGCAGGTCTTTCCAGATCAAGCCTAGTGCCTCGCAGAACTTGATAACGAAGCTACCACTAGGAGTCTGAGACCGCTGCCGAGATCGTATGATAGACTAGCCGAAAGCCAGAAGAATCCTTCGGAAACTGCTGTAACTTCAGCTGCAGCGGAGATTTGCTGCGTGCAAGGAAGGAGCAGGTTCTTCAAGCCTAATGTAGGGGCCTTAATAATGAGAATAGGGTTTTGGGGTACATTATTGAAATACATGCAATTTTAATTGAGAAGGAACCCCAAAAAACAGTTTAGGCAACCATTAAGGCCCCGATACTACCTTTCGAACCAAGTCGGCTCATTCCACGGTGTGGTGTGCAGACTTAGTCATCAGCAGCATGCTTAAACTGAAAGGTCCAAGAAAACCAAACCTCGAATGAAAGACTAAACCGCAGACCGGAAGCTCGAAACCCGAAGCCCCGAACCTGAGATCCGGACCCTTTTGCCCTAAACCCGAAACCCTTTTGATTAAGGGTTGGGGGATTAGGGTCCTTTTTGCAACAGGCTTTCCACGGATTAGGGTCCCTAAACCATAAACCTCAGCCCCGACCCGGGACCCGAGCAGCACAGCCTCACTCGAGCGACCACTACGGCTGGACGACCACCTCTGCATCGGTGCTATGTAGGCCCTCTAATAATCGGAACAGGGCTTCTTTCAAGGGTTCTTAAAAGTGGTATATTCGGGATCTACACTAAGGGGGTCTACGGGGTTGTCTGAGTAATTAGGGCTATAGGGGAACCATGCTACTAACTATTCTGACCCTCGAGGAAGGATGGGCTGGGGCGTTCATGCAAGTCTACTAAACACGATCACTTCATGTGAGTCAATGCTTGTGCTCAGGGTCTTGCCGATGTCCATGACCAAGCCCACCTAAACCTCGAAATGCCATATGAAGCTCCCAACTCGTGATCCCTGCGCTCCCTCGAAAGTCACACATGGTGTATGAGAGCATATGAGTATGGAGCAAGTGCCCCCGGGGTCAAAGTCGTGCCAACCGTACTCCACATCTTACGAGCCAGGAGGCTCGACACGAGGAGTTGCAGCTCCTCCGAGCCTCAGCGACGCTAAAACCCTAAGCCTCTTAGACCCGAGACCCTTAAACCCCTGAGCCCTAAGCACGAACGGTCTTGCAGCGGTTTGGGGCGGAAAGTTCGGGGCGCGGAGATTGAAGCTGCCTTCAAACCGAAGTCCGAAAACCCTACAGCCCACAACAGGCCCACAACGTCCAAGGTCCTGTGGGGTTAGGGATTAGGCCCTAGGGGTGAACAGAGCTTCTTGAGGTTCAGGTGGTTCTGGGGCTTAACATGGAAGCTGGCCTATATTAAGATCGAAAAACTAGGGTGGCTGCAGGAAAACAGGTTTAGGATTAACCAGAACTTGCTTGCGACGTTTGAAGTACACGAAAGGAAGAAGGCTAGACAGCCGCAATTCAGCGGAACAGCAACGTTGAAACTCGCCAGCAAGCTCATTTCATAGAGGCATAAAAGCAACACCACCTTGTCTTAGTACCACTATGGCTTTCGAACTCGAGTCCAATGCATGTAGCTATCGTATCACTGAGTCCTTTCAAAAAGGAGCTTCAAACACCAAGCTCATGGTACAGAGGCGCTTCACAGAATCGGTTCACAAGGGGCTAGTAGAGCCCCGTACCACCTTAACTCAGGCTCTCTTACTCCCTTGAAGGCCCCCGGCTATAACTTAAGGAGTATTTCTTAGTCAAACCCGGTCGACAAACCCTACACCCGGATGCAAACCCCGAACCCCTCAACCCTTGAGACCTGAACCCGAGAACAAAAACCCTAAACCCCAAGCTTCAACACCATCCTGCTGTGAACAAGGAGCAGAGCGATGTCAGATCCGAATCCTCAGTCTCGAGGACACAAGCGCAAGGGTCTTTGCCTTTCTGCTCCAAAGCTTACCCCAAGAGGACCCTCCCAAGGTCTCAGCCAATGTTGGTAGGATCTCATGGTTGCAAAAATCACGCTTAGCGCGGGTGTGCCTGTGTCTCTGGCTCTTGGTCCCTTTGCGGTCATCGCATGATGTTAAAGCCGCCCACTAGAGCAAAACCCCAAGCACAGCACCCAAAGACTTGGGGGGTTGCAGGAGAAGTTCTAAACTGCAACAGAGCCGCAATGCCAGTAGAACAAGTTGCCGAAGATTGAAATCTACCTTATCCCCCCGCATGGCTTGCACTTGATACACGGACGCTAGCCTTCCGCAACTGCACAAGAAGGCAAACCAAGCCACCAACAGCCCAAACTCGGACTTCAACAGAACGCATGGAAGCTTGGCCAGGGGACGCTGCATCGTCTCTCAGACGGGACGATGAAACAAGCTTCTGGATAGGATTGATGTCTCAAACGCTAAACCACAAACCCTAAATTTAACGCCTCAGCGCTAAACCCCTAACCCTAGGATGGTTCCACTCTTCTGGAGCTATTGAGGAGGCTGTCGCTTCAAGGCAGAAGCCCTCCCGTGCATCTTGCAGATCCCACCCCGGCTTCAGCTGAAACGTAGGTGCCTTTATAGTTTGAATAGGGCTTCGGGGCGTACTGGAATAGGTTGAATAGGTTTTTGTTTGGAGGAAACTTCAATCGTTGCAATAGTTTGAACAGGGTTTGGGGTTTGTTGTAATAGCTTGAAGAGGGTTTTCGTGTATTGTACTAGCTTCAAAGGGTTTTTTTGTGTAGATTGTGCTAGGAACCAGTATTACCACGTTATAGGGGCCATAATGCGGTTATAGAACTCATCTACATGGGTTGGGGATGCCATGCTGTAGTAATAGCTATTGAATTGAACGTGATGAGTAGTAACTGAACAGTATCTGCAACAGCCCCATGCACTCTAATCCATAGGCTCAATGATGCGGACTCACCAAAACCCTGAATCCCAAACTCAAGTTCACTCGAAACCTTAAAGCTTTCGCATGCTCTAAATCTAAGACATCTAAGAAACCCCAAACCCCAAACCTCTAAACCCTAAACCCCTCCAGCTAGAGTCAGCCTCGAGCCCCAAAACAAATCGAGCCTTAAGATCTAAAGCCAGCACCACAAAGCCAGAGCTGTCATTCAGCGCATGCTGCTGCTGCTGCTGCTGCTGCTGCTGCTGCTGCTCCTGCTACTGCTACTACTACTACTACTACTACTACTACTACTACTACGACGACGTTGTCATTCAGGCGGCATCCTCGAGCGGCTCCGCCCCATCCAGCAAAGCAATGCCCAACGGAAATGTCTGCAGCCGGTCTGCCAGTTTCAGCCTTTTGATTTGTAAGCATCGCATTAAAGGTTTACAACACAAAGCTTTGGAGTTTGACTGCTTCGAGTTCGGGGGGATGGGGTTTTGAGTGTAGTGTAGTGTAGAGTAGAATTTAAAGCTTAGTGCTTTCAGGCACTCCGGACACACGGGGGGACAGGGTGGGGACGAAGCAAGAATCTCGGCTTTCAGGCAGCGGCTCTAGTGCTTCTAGTGATGCTAGTACCCAGCTAGCTTCTCTGTGTGGGGCTCAAATCCCCCAACAAGCTGACATCCTTTTGCACAGGCTTGATTGGAGCTAAACCCGAAACCGTGAAGTGCTGTCCCTGACCCCTAGGCCCCAGACCAAGAAGATCCGGATATCCCTTCTGCGGGCCCTTGGCGTCCACTCTCCTTCCTGGCCTTCATTTATCCAACTAAAAAAATCAACTTTTGGGTTTCGTATAGCATGGAGGCCTGGAGGGTTTTAGGGTTTAAGGTGGGCTTTAGGGCATACTACCCTGCATCTACAGGGGCAAACTAAGCGGCGGTATCCGGACCACATTTTAAATGCTACATTGCCCCAGAAGGTGACTTAGCGACTATATAGCTAAGGGACCCCTCTTGTTTACAAACGCCAAGCCTAAACCCCCTAAGCCCTAAACTCTAAAGCCCCTAAACCCTAAACCCCAAACCCCCCCAAGCCGTATACTACCCCTAAACCCTAAACCCTAAATGCTCTGTTGACAACAACCATCGTTTGGGCAGAGGTGCTTCAACTTTCTGGCAGATCCCAGGGCGGCGGCATTGAAGGGACCATGGCGCCGAGGTTTTTGGCGCTTTTAGGGTTTGGGGGTGTGCGAACTCAGGGGTTTTGGGGTTTAGGGGCTTATGGGTTAGAGGGCTCATATAGGGGTTCTGGTTTGATTTTTACGAGCCCTTGACCATTTGCATAGGGTGTTGGTAGGGTTGCAAGAGGTTTTGTGACGGTTTCGCGAGCCTTCTAACTAGGGTTTTCGTGTGGCAAAACCAGAAACGCATTATGAAGGAATGCTATTTACTGATAATTCAGACCTTTATCTTGTTCCTCGAGCCCTGTGGTACCAGGGAGTTCCGAGCTGAGTGTGGGGCGCGCGTGAAGCACCCCTGCGAGGCGGTGGCGCCGTGCACATTTGTGATAATATCCCTTTCCTTCCGCCGCGAAATAACGAGGCGAAGCTACTTTAGATGATTGCATAGCAAGTACGGTATTGCTATAATGCTAGAATACCCTTTGTGCTACTATTATAGCCATTATAGCGGTATAGCATGTTATAAGACTAGCCTAACTGTCTAGGGTGTGGAGTCTCAGACCTTTCTAAGGAGCCTGTTTGCAAGGACTGAAGCACAGGTGCAGCCACGGCACGTGCCATCCATAGCACGCACCCAGAGGGCCTTGGCATCACCGGCGCCTTGGCTGATTTGAGGGCTTAGCTTTAGGTCTTAGGGTTTACAGTCTTAGTTTAGGGTTCCGGCTTGCGCGCTGTGTTGCATGTTTTTTTGAGCTCATTTTCTAAGAGGCCCAGTCGTCCCACGAAACTGTATTTTTTGTAGCCTCCCACCTAGCTGGCTAGGACAAGCCCACATTGCAGGGTTCATTCAGTGGAGAGCACAGAAGTTAGTGCGATGATGCATCCTATGGCCATCGCAAAAGGTTCGTTAACTCTGTACAGCCGTGGCTATTGCATCAGCAGTGAGAGCAGATCGGCTGCAGGGCGCTTGTCGACTCAGAGCTAAGCATGACTCACCCAAGCCAAAATGCATCTAAAAGGACATGTCTCAAAGATTCCTATGTCTCAAAGATTCTCAGCACCTCAGCGGCAAATACCCTGCGAAAACACCAGACACTCACTTGTCGGGCTCTTCCACGGGCCGGAATAAGTGCTACTGGTATCCGCGTGTGGTCCTTCATCAACGGCTAGAAAAAATATGCTCAAACACTGTGCAATCGATTAAGGCCCCCTTGTTATATTGACCTTCCCAAGTTTCTTGAACCCAGATTTTATGGTCTCGGGATTGGGTTTCAGGATTTACAGGTGCAACCTGAACGGTACAGGTACACCCTGAAACTGACACCCGAAGCTTTTGCCCTCAACAGTTTATCCTGAAAACGTGAAGCCGGCAGGCAGAGCGGCGCAAAAATCACTAACGGCAATACCATCAACAATGGCAATGCTCTCGTACTGTTTTGTAGAATGGCTTAGTATTCTCCTTTTATCCTGACAATGCCTACTACATCCCGAAGTCCAAGCGCTAAGCCCCAACCCCACTGTCTTCAAAAATGGCCGTAGCACATCTATACTGCAAGACTTCCAAGTCGCTTTCGGGCTTCGTGGTGTTTATCTCCTGCAAGCGGTGTTCACATGAAGTTCGGTTTGGTGCTCCTCGGGCCTCCCAGGCCTTAGGGTCTTGCTGCATCCATCGTTTTGTCGGGGGTCTCGGGGGTTTAAAGTTCCAGGCAGAGATCTTGGCACTGTCCGGGGTCCTTCCCTAGCTTCCTATCGTGGCTTTGTCGTGTTGCGGTCTCTACATTCTGCGTCTCTGGCTCTTACAGCGAAAGCAGAGGAACGGATCTACAAAATAAAGCCAGCAGATCCGCACAGCCCAAACGCATAAGTTCTAAACAGTGAACTCCAAAAACCCTCAGCCGTGAAGCCCTTTAGCCCAAAAGCACCCGCGGCTCGGAGACTTTTTCGGACTGATGGCTTGTCTTAAGGGTCTTAGGATCTGTTTTTTTGGCACGGCCCTTTTCCACTCGCTGAGGGTCTTGGGGTTTAGGCTTCGCGCTTTAATGTCTACAACTTTAGGCTTTGGGGTATCGTCTTACAAGTGGTTTGAAGCTTCTCCGTTTCTGTGGGGCCTAAAGCAGCCGATGTCTTCTGCATCAAGCCTTGAACACACAAACTATAACTATAGGCTTCAACAAACAAGGGGCCTGAATTCTTCGACTATAGGGTTTAGGGTTTAGCGGGGTTGTGGGGGCGTCTTGTAGCACCGTCAGAATAATGGGAACCCGAGAAGCCTCCATCGATGCAAGACTGTTGCCTCCCGGACTCTCCACGGAGATCAGTCAGAAACCTCGACCCTGACATCCTACGGCTCCGCCCTGAGATCACAATGTAGGGGACCCTAATATAGCACCCTAAATAGTAGGATCCCTATTATAAGGACCCCAAATTAAGGTACCCGGATTTGGGAGGCTCGGCTCTGATCTCGACTCTCCTCCTGCTCTGGGCAGCGCCGCGGTGGTGGTTTGGAAGATTCTGCCGGCACGGGTGCAGGACGGGCTTCTTGCCCAGCGCATGCCTCAAAGTGGATGCGCTTTTCAAATTCCAGGATTAGCGCCAGCTCCCCAGAACCATGGATCTGGAACGAGGATGGTAGTCCGTCGAGCTTGCGTCTAGGGCATGAGGACGGGGAAATTCCAAATTTATGCCGGCTATTACACGGTTGTATATAACATAAGGCTTTGCTCAGCAGCTGTGAGCTTGAGGTTGAGAAACGTAGGCTTTACATAATTGGTCACAGCATATCGCAGCAAGTCAAGCGCCATGATTCGAACGTGGAAGACCTGAGTGGAGACGGTTCTCAAATTGATTCCAGACTTAAGGCGCTGCTTCATCAGGTCCTGAGAATCAAAGACGATAATTATAGTAAGCAGAGCAATTGATACTAGCCACAACAATAGCAAGAATGATGGTTTCAATAATGTAATCATAAGGACATACTATTATTGGGTACCGCAGCAGTACCAACGATAGGTACAATAATAAAACAATGTTCCAGAATAACAACAAGAACAATGATAATCACAGCAGCAACAACAAAACAATGATAGATATTTTTCATGTAATAATGAACAAGAATAAAGCGTCCAAGAATAAGTAAACAAATCAAAAAATCAAATGAAAGCAGTCAGAATAACCGTAATGACGGCAACAATAGAAAGAGAAGAAGAACAAAATAACACTAATTCTGAAATTTTGTAATGATAACAATGATAACGATGAAATAAAAATAAACATAACGAAAGAACATAATGACAATATCACTTCCGAAAAACAAAAGCAAAAACGCCAAAACATGCTCACGCCAACAACGACAGCAGCAGAACCACAACAACAACACCACCACCAACAACAACTACCACAACAGCAGCAATAGCAGCACGACAACAACTACAACAACAACGCCAACAACAGCAGCAGCACCGACACCACCAATAACAAACGACAAACATCGAAAAACAAACACCCAACAACAAACACCAAACACCAACTGCAAACCACCAAACCAAACAACACTCGACACAACAATCAACACACAGAGCTCAACACATAAGAAACAACAAATAAAATAATAACAACAAAACCAACAAACAACAAACACAACAACAACCAACAACGGACAACGAAAACAACCACCGTCCAACCTAAACAAACAAACAAACAAACAAACAAACAAACACCACCACCACCACCACCACCACCAACAACAACAACAGCAACAACAACAACAACAACCACAAACACCACCACAACAACAGCAGCAACAGCAGCAGCAGTAACAACTACACAGCCGCTACAAACGACAGCAACAGCAGCAGCAACAAAGACCACACAACAAACAACCAACCCAACAACAACAACAAGAAAAAAAAACCACGACAACACCAACAACAACAACAACAGCAACAGCAACAGCAACAGCAACAGCAACAGCAACAGCAACAGCAACAGCAACAACAGCAGCAGCAACAACAACAACAACAACAACAACCACCACCCGCACACCAGCAGAAGCAGCAGCAGCAGCAGCAACAACAACAACAACAACAGCCACAACCACAACCACAACCACAACAACAACCAGCACACCAGAAGCAGCAGCAGCAACAACAACATAAACATTACCAATCTTAACGCCAACAACAACAACAATAAAATACACAATGATATGAATTATACGCCCTAACCCGAAGCATCG